TTATCGGTTGAGCAGACATCACAGCCGCCGGTCCCACGCGTTAAGGATATTGTCAGCCGTGTCTGCATTTGTCAAACTCTTTGAATCCCTCTTTTGGCTGTCATTACTGTTGGAGGCAACACATAATCACGTATGCATTCCCTTCAATATTATTGTTATACAGTACACTGTATAGTACAGTATAGCCTATACTGCAACTAATATTTTAATAAAATTTAATTTTATAATATTTTACATATAAAAAGGAGGATAACTCTACCCATACATTGACAGTAGTGTTGGCCACGGCTTTTGTAATATCGATGATGACGGGACTCGTCGCTATGTTTTCTCCCTGTTTTGAGGGCCACTTTCTTTATAAATCTTTGTTGACGACAACTGTTTGTAGTTTTGTCTGGAATATCATAATTTTGGCATTATGTTTTATACTGGGTACTTTGTGCTATATTATTCTACAAAATTTCATTACTTGAACTTTTATATTAATGCATAAGTGTGCGAGAGAGAGAGAGAGAGAGAGAGAGAGAGAGAGAGAGATTTCAAATTAGAATGGATGAATAATTGTCATAGGTATAAATTGTATTTAGTTATAATTGGTTAAGTGAATCCTAATTAGATATTTATTTTATAATTAGGATCTAATTGGCTATATATTAAAACATATTCTCTGCATTTATTTATATAAATAATAGATTATTACAAACACTCTCAGAATAAAGACAACCAAACAGAAACTGCATTCAACGCAACTATAGGTAATTATATATCAATTTATCTAAAATTGCAATTAAAGTATTATTGACTTTATTAACATTTTGTATAATTATAATATAAATATTTTATTTAAAATAGTATGTATTTTAAACGTGATGTCAAATAAACGTAATTAATATTAGTTTATATACAAATATCAAATTCAATTTAGCATTTAATATGTAATTTAATAGAGAATATTCTGCAAACATTTTTCACAACATCAAAGTGTATAAAAGTAGAGAATATTGTGAACGGAAACACATTTTGATAAATGATTTGAAATACACATAAATATGAATGTTATGAATAAATATATAGATATTTGTGAGAGACGTTTAAAAGTAATTTGATTTGTGATGCCTTCAGGTGTGATGACTGCCGGCGCTATATTTGCGACCACAAAGAGACTGATGGCAGAGGAAAATGGTTTTCACAAAAGGATTTGGTTTCAGCCACGCGTTCAGACATCTAATATCCCATCTTTTATATAATCGTATATTAAAAACTAAACTATTTTTTATTGATTTTGGTTATTCAATATTATTATGTTTTTACAATATTTACAATCTTAAAAATATGAAAAATAAATATTTTCTTTGGTATTATTATTAAATATTGCATTAATTGTATTAATAACGCATACTGCACATTGTTTTATGATGTACTATATGTACTGTATGTCATTCTGTATATACATTTTACACAGAATTGAAATAAGTTCTAATAAAATAGTCATTTATCTGAAATAGTCCACTACTCTATTACTCGTTGTCTTTACCCTATAAGATAAATTAAAATATTTATTAAATATAATTTATGTGGTAGTATCATATTATTACTATTATAAAATATTCTATCATTATATGGATATTTTAAATTTGTGAATTAAACTTTTTAATATTACAGGAAAATTATAATTTTTAGTACATTTTATCTATTTTATGAGATTTAGTAATTTTTATTTGGATTAAAACAATGTCAGAGAGAGAGAGAGAGAGAGAGAGAGAGAGAGA